TGTTGGAAAAGAGTGGAACTTTAAAATGGATGAAAAACTAAATTTGAGGAATTAAAATCGAACAAAAAAAATAGCCTTTCTTTTCAGATGGTTTTCAAACTGATTATTTTCAAAAAGAGATTAACAAAATCATAATGCATTTTGGGTGGGACATATTTCAAACTTCTGCCTTACATTGTACAATGCAGCTAGAGAATTATAGTTCACTATGGCCATTCTCTACACAATGATAAGATGAAATACTCCTCATGAACCTCTCATCCTTAGTTTGATGATCAGCCAATATGCAACTTGGAGTTGAGGAAATGCCATTTATATCTGTCATACACTATGATTTGAGGTCTCCTCCACCACTTTAGTTTTCACATCTTAAGAGGTAAATGTTGTGCTAGAATTCCGCAGCTAGCTCAGTCTTATTCTAGTGCTTTTTGTCCAGAAAGCTGTCTGTCCATCATATATTGTCCATGGCAACAAACTACATAAGTTGGACCTTTTCTTGAATTTATGTATTTAATATTAGAATTTATTGAACTCAACTAGATATATTTTAAAATTTATATTTTTTCCATTTTACTTTTAAGATTTAAAAAATTTCATATCAGAGCAAAATATACATAGGAATAATGGGACTATTTAACAGTTTCCCCCAAACAGCATTTTCTTGCTTTTTTAATGTAGATTAGAAACTTAGCTATAAAGATATACCAATTTAAACTCTTGTTGACATTGTTTATTTTGCTAAGATGAATCTCAATATTAGTCTTGTTTACCTTCTAGTGTCAAAATTAACATTTTGACAACATCCAGTTTCAAAAGTAATGCTTTGTTTATATACTTCACTGCTTTGTTCTTGTCAGAATGGTTTCCACATTCTTATCACATTTGAGCCTTATAAAGTAGAAAAGGTACTGAACACATTGGAGAAGTAAGAACACAAAGTACCAAAAGGCTGAACCAACTGGCCTAAGACCTCGCCAAAGTGCATGAGAGCCAGATCCAGGACCCATGCCTCCCAGCTCCCAGCTCTTGCTGTGCTGTGCCCCTCTGCACAGTCAGTCAAGAGGACCCTTTCCAGATGACTGTGGCACAAACAAAGAGCAGATAGGGACACTGTCAGGCAATCTCAGAATTCTCTCCGTAAGTAAAGAAATGTGTGTCCGAATTATTTAGTGGCATTAAATTAATCATAAAATCATTGTCCTCTGTCAGTCCAGGACTGTTTGCTGCCGTGTGCCTCAATGTGCTGTAGAGGACAGGTGTCTCCACTCAGTGCAGCCTCTTCAAATTGATGAGATTTTCCAGAGATGTTACTGTGGTAGAGCTACTTCTCACTCAGACCCTTAGCCACCAGGAAACATGATGGAATGAACAGAAGGCCTTCTGCCTGCTGTTTCCTCACAGAATTCATGGAGGGGGGTGCACAGGGACTGGAATTGTTTGCTGGCACCCTAATGTTATGACAGAAACTATGCTACTTTAGAAATGCATTAAGCTTCTCGCCAACTTGCATACTGTTCTATCCAAAGTAACCGGAGCCATCATGAGAAATCATTGCATTAAGTAAACGTTACTGTGCCCTGTGAAAAGCTTTTTCAAATTCAGTTACGATGATCTTACATCTCCATCTCCACAGTGAAACATTTTAGTGTCATAAACCTCAAAACACTAACCAGGTAATCCATTTTTCTACAGGAAATCTCTACCAGAAGCCCCTGTTCATTTTTTAAGGCATATGTTTGTTTATTTTCAGGATCAAGAATATTGAGCTAGCTTTAAGTAGCAAACTGATTTATATATGCAATTATAGGCTATAATAAGGTGAATGATAGCCTGTATAAACTTTACTACAGATATTTTGTTTTGAGAGTAGTTTTGCATATTAAATGCAGATTGATTTTGTAAAATTAATTATGTTACACGGTATGTTCAGACACTTTCTGCCATGGCCAAAAAGTATATATGAAAGTATGTGTGTATTTGTCTGTGAAAGGATGCCAGTGTTTTACCTGATATCTTAGTGAGACTTCAGTTATCTATGCATTCTTTATATCTGTGATTCTGTAAACAGGCCGCCATGTTCACTATGCCTTGTATGTCGTATCTTTTTTTAATTAACCTGTTAAATACAGCTTAAAATATTTTTATTTTATTTATTCTATTTTTACTGAAATATACTGCATTGTTGTGTTAATATATTATCTTTACTGGATATTATGTCACAATGTATTCAGGTCTAAGTAATCTCAGTGAACTACACATTGCCTAAAAGTTGGTTTTGTAATGATTTGTAGTCACATTTCTATTGGAATATGTAGAAGGCAAAATGCTTAAAGTTCCTTTTATTTTTTAAAAGCAGCTAGCTAGATGCAGTCTTGCCATCTCTTCTGCGTGCTCCTTGGCAGCATCAAGGGGAAGAGCCAACAGGCCTATGACTAAGAACTTGACTTTGTAAACTAAAGCACCCTATGGTGCTTCATTTTTATAACCTTCACAACATGTGTGATTTCATCTAAAGATATATACATATGTCCACACACCTTTTGTTTCCACCTGGCTATAAGGTCACCAATAGCTAATTAGGACCATTGTTTTTTGTCTGTCTTACTGCATGAAGGAACATTAGACTCATTTCCATTAAAACAAGTTCTTGGTGATAAACTGTTGGCACTGCTACTTTTTTTAAAAAAAAAAAATTCATATTGTGAGTTTAAGATGGACACTTGGAAGATGGACACATGTGCTAGGGGCCGCCATGATTCCTTTTCTTGAATGGCGCACTCATTTCACACAAGACTTCATGAACAACATGGAAAATGTTTCCCTGCCTGATTTTAGCACAATTTAATAAAACTACTGGCGCTGTTGGTTGGCCAGACTTACCCTAATACACATTTAACATGGGGTTTACAGCTAGTAAATCGCAGTTTAAGTTATTTCAGTTTCAGGGAAAACATCCTCCCTGCCACCATCAATAAGAGCAGTCCCTGGCAGCCGGCGCCAGCTGTTCATCCTGAAAGGATGTCTTGTTTTTCCTTTTACCCCTTTTACTGTTGACCACTTTTACACATTTAAATGTAATATGTATTGAGAATAAACTTAGCTGCATAAAATGTTTGGCTCATTTATCTGACAACTCAGTCATATATACAAAAATTAGAATTTAGTGTGTCTGAACTAGTCATGTTATTTTTATATTACCTCAAATTAAACTTTTAAGAAATCATATTAGTAATGTAAGATTCTGCTTTGACTGGTGATTGCATCTTTCCACCTGGGAGAATGAGAAGGTAACTAAATTTGAGTCATTACCCTGACCTTGTTTAGTGGACAGACAGCTACCATTCTGGACACACAAGCCTATCGAGTCTTCTGCAAGCAGTCGTTCTAGGGTTAAAGTATTTCAGCACAAAGTCTGTCTCATTTTCTTGAAGAACTTAACCTCAGAGAATGAAGAAGAGAGGTGTATTGGCACTAAAATCCAAAAGGTAGCTAGAAAAACCGACTGAATCTGGTCTAGTTCAACTTTCAGACACACAGAAGAGGACAAGGAAAAGGTAAAGTAGGCACTACTGTTGGTCTTGCATGCCCCCCAGAGTGTTCTCTCTCCCCCTCATCTCCCAAGGGCAGTAACTCAACGAACTTTCATTTTGGTTTCCGGGTTTTTATGATAGTAAATAGTTTCAGGTAAAAATCAACATTTGCTATTGAGATATCTAAACACCAATAATCTGATTATTTTAGTGTTTTGCAAGACTTTTACATTCAAGCAAGTAAAATACCAAACAAAAAATGTTAGTGTGATCCATATTCTTCACTACAATTATCTCATGTAGCTTTTATCCTAAGTTCTTTCCCTGTTTTGTTTACCAAAGTATTTAAATAAGCGATCCTGTCCTGCTTAGAATATTCTCAGATTAAAATGCAAGCTTAATTAATGAATGGTTTAATTTAGAATCTCCATAAATTTCTAAAGAGAAAAATAATTTAGTACCAAGAGGCATGTTAGGAACTACTGAAAATAAGTGACTTCAAAGTTGTGACATGAATCACATGCAGAGGTTATAAAATATCCTGAGCTGTTTCATAACAGTGAGAGTTAACCCAGAAAATACACTTGAAAATAAAAATTTCAGACCCTGTGCTTCTGGACAATGGAATCATTTGCAGCCTAGAGTTGGAGTGAAGCAGGAAAAGGATAAAAGATCCCTGGGAGGGGCTGGGGTGTGGCTCAGCAACAGAGCGCTCACCTAGCACATGTAAGGCACTGGGTTCCATCTCAGTACCACGTAAATAAATAAAGGTATTGTGTCCAACTACAACTAACTAAATAAATATATATATATATATATTTATATTTTAAATCCTTGGGATGAAATATCAGCTCTTCACTAAACAATGTAAAATTAGGCTATCCTGTCCTCCTAGAGGCATGGGGGTCCCCTAAGCTAGATTTGGGTGGGTGTAATATAATGAAACATCCCCTAATAAGTCTGGCTCAAGTATAAGAAGTCTTGTCTTTGAGCTGGGGCTGTAGCTCAGGCAGAGCACTTGCCTAGCACATGTGAGGCACTGGGTTTGATCCTTAGCACTGCATAAAATAAACAAAGGCATCTGTCCATCTGCAACTTCGAAAAAATTTTTAAAGTCTTTTCTTCACATACAATTTCTAATGAAATGTAATCTTCAGCTAAAGGAAAAATCAATTAGTACTACTAAAATGAAATTCACCATTTTGCTTTTCTCCTCACTTCAAGTGAGAAAAGAATAACATAGCTGAAACAGACCTAAATATTCTACTGAAGTATCACCTGAATTGAGCATTCCAGAATTACTTAAACACAACTGATTCTGAAAATAAAACTTTAAATTCAAATGTCATCAACGTGTCTATGAACTTTAAACAAGATTTATAGTTGAAACCTATTTAACGTTAAACATTTTGTTACTATCATGAAAAATAATCAGTAGACCCAGAAATGATAATCATACCAATATTGGCAGGCAATTGATAATACATTTAAGATGAATTGACATTTAATATAACAGTGCTACAATATATTTTAATTGTGCATCAGAAATGATTTACCAAAGTTTGATTACTGTGTGCCATTTGAAACAATTTGAACATTTTGCTGTATCACCTGATCTTTGAATAGAATCAGAAGTCTTTATAGGTTTCTTCAATAATAGATATCACTTGTATTCTTTGACAATAGATATCACTTTTTTTTAACAGTTTTGTCCTCAGAATTATGAATGTTTTGATGGAAATTTGCTCACAGTCTTTTTTTCAACCGTGTTTGGCATAAACAGGCAGAAGGAAGGGGTGATTGTGCTCACTCAATCCACTCAGGATCCTGGATGCTCTTCCCACGAAAGACCCTCTGAATCGACACCTAAGCAATGCACACATGGCGTTCTGGAACTTCCTGGGCTTCCTACTAGTACTCAAGCTCAGTCATGTTACCAAAACTCATGTCATGCCCTTTTTCAGGAACAGACAAGTACTTAAGAAAAAAAAAAAAATCAATCTTGATTGTGATTGGAAAAGTTCAGCTAGGACTGCTTAGACACTGACAGGGTGTTCCAAGGGTGGTGGGAGGGCCCTGCTTTCAACTGAACGCCCTCAAAAGTGAGTGAAGAGCAGCCTGCTCCAGAGAGACCATGTTTCCCTTCAGGAGAAACTGCTGAGCTTTAGTCCAGACTGGAAGTCAACAGGAGCGAGCCGAGTTCTGACAGTGATTGAGAGTCGACAGCGGGGTGTTCTCCAACAGATCAGCACTGAGCTGCTGCAATCTGAATTCTGCTTGCTTACCCTCTACATTATTGTCTCTCTCCTGTTTTGATTCTCTGAAGGTAATATCACAATTAGAAGATACTAAGTGACAAAAGGATGAGTATCTTGTGTAGCTATATCTCACCTTCTGAGAAATACCAGACTTTGGGAAGAAAAAAAAAAAAAACAAAAACGCCTGTTTCTGGCCCTGTCAAAAACATGGGGCAGTCAAAGCCATGGTCGAGGACGCCTAACTAGGGAGGAAGGTAAGTTTTCTTTAGGTTTCTCCCCTCTTCTGGACGCTGATGGTGTGGGAAGGTAGCCAGGCACACCAGTCTTGGGCCTAACCCAGCGATAGTAAAAATGCTGATTTGGGACCTGAGATCTGATCCCTTGAGGACTTTGAAATGGCAACATTACTGGAGGCAAAACGATCTCAATGGGTTTCAAAGCAATCATTTTGTCTTCTGGTCGAGGTCTTGTGAAGTTGGTGTGCCGTTCACACGGCTTGCAGTGACAGGTGTTCTTCGTTAATGTGGGTGTCAAAGGATTGATGGTAGGCTTGCTAGGTTTCCTGGTCTGTGTGGTGGCACCTACTTGAGATGCATTTTTCTGTGGATTAAGTGCTTTTGTTATTAATGCCTCTGATCTGTTAGTACTTGTTTTGGTTTCTCGATTCAGGAACTCGGCAATTTTCATTTGGATGCCATTATTATCATTGGCAGACGGTTTGGGCAATGATGTTTTTGATTTTTTCCTCTTCTTCTCTCGTTTTGATGATTTCCCCAACTCAATCCCGTCCAGTAGCCCTTTTGCTGCAGCTCGGGCCAAAACATCTTTCACAGACACTGTCTCAGATGGGTCCCGCTACAATTAAAGAAGCATTTATTACTGTGGAAGGTAACTATTGTGCATATGGCAAATATATGTCAATGTTTTCAGTGAAAATAAATAGAATATAATATTAAAATAAATGGATTTTAGGCCTAATACATGCCATAAACCTCAGCAGATGACTTCTTTTTAACTTCAGTTCTCCCATTTATAAACCTGATAGAATTACACAGCTAATTTCTTATGTCACAGAAGATGCCCTATGTGTTAACAAACTGCTTACAGAGGTGGGCATAGAGGGCAGGCAAAAAGAAACACAGAACATAAGGTATCGGGATTACTTGCCACAAAGTTTTTTCTTGCCTTTAGTTATTTATGAAATATAAGCACAGCATTTCAAAATGTTCACAGGTTCCTATGTTCCTCTTGTGAGGCTCTGCCATTCCTAATTCCAAAGTATGACATGGACTGGGATTGTTTTTGTCTCCTTACCTCTCTTGTTAAAATAGAAAGAAAACAACCATTGGTAGTTTCAGATTGTTCCATTCTGAAAAACTTATCCTTAGCCAAGTGTATTTCTTTTAAGGAGCATAAAGGAAGAACAGGAGGACTGAGCCTGCAACAGAAATGAACAAGCATGAAACAGCTGGAATGGCTTCTTTCAAAGAGAGGGAAAAAGTATTTTGCAAATAAATTTCTTCCATTATGTTTTACCAGTGATATAAGTAAAACTTCCAAACAAGAAAAAGTGCTGAAGCAGCTTTTCCCAAAATAACACATAAGGAAAAAGCTCTAGTATTTCGTATTAGCTCAGAACTCATTATACTTCCCAAGTTCTGTATCCTTAAACAACTATGCCAACGACAAACTTTTAACTCAAAACTTCTTTCACCACTCAACTAATATGTTATCAAAACAGGTAAATATGTATAGGAGTCACAAAGAGAGAACTCCAAACTTCCTATATTTCTACAATGTCAAAATATGAAATAATAGGACTTCCTTCTTTCAGTTACTTTTGCACAATTATAATAATGTAGTCTATCATTTTAACTACATTATTCTTCCAATAACTTTGTGGGTATTAATGGATGAGTTATAGAGTGTTCAAGAAAGTAATAATAAAAGACTTTATGTCATTAAAAACTAATTTAAAATAAAATTTTGGTTTTTATATTTAATTTCTCACTTAATAGTAAGTTCATGAAAAGGTGATTCTTCTAATTCCATGCTTTTAGTATTAAAATGTATTTACTGTGTCAAAGCATTTTAACACTTAATCCACATGAATTCAAATATCAGGAAACTTTTTTATCAATAATTTTGTCTATCCTGACACTTAAAGCCAGTTTTAAATTTATATTTATTATTTGCCTATTAGGTAAAAAGTGCATGAATAAAACCTTAATTCAAAGAGTTTACAGATTAGTTGAGGAAACGAATCCATTTACAGTAATCTGAAAGAGACCATCTGTGGATGCTGGGCCAACAGAGACAAGATACAGAAGAGAGTAAGGCCAGTTCTTCCTGGCCCAGGCAGAGGGCAAATGTGAAGCCTTGGCAGAGGAAGTGATACTGAAGCTGTGTCTCGAAGAAAAAAAGTAGGTTCCCGGTAACGTAAAGAAGGTGATTCTAGACAGAAAGAAGAGCAGGAAGAAAAGCACATGCGCTGTGAGTATGCAGGCGCGGGCACACCAAGTATTTCCATGGGTCTGTGGCATAAGGTGAGTGATGAGAGAGAGGTTGCTTAGCAAGGGGCAGACACACATGACCTCAGATGACATGCTAAAGAGTCTGACAACAGACGGTGCTAAATAAACAAATGAAGGCAAATGGCAGTGGAACTTATTTGAAATCAAAGAACTACAGGTTCTGAAAGTGAGAGAGCCAGCTGTTCCTCTCACCAACCTCGTAACCAGCCAGCAGTTTCTGAGACTATTCATACAGGTTGAGCATCCCTGATCTGGAAGTCTAAAATCCAGTATGCTTCAAAATCTGAAGGTTTTTGAGTGCAACATGATGCCACAGGTTTAAAAAAAAAAAAAAAAATTCTATAACTGAGCTAATGTGAACAAGCACACTAAAAATACTGCATAAAATTACCTTCAGGCCACGTGTATAAGGTGCCCATGAAACAAATGAATTTTGTGTTTAGACTTGGGCCCATCACCAACATATCTCACTTTGTATATGCAAATATCCCAAAATCCCAAAAGATCCAAAATCTGAAGTACTTCTGGTCCTAAGCATTTTGGATAAGGACACTCAACCTCTATATGCTTGTTCTCTACACAAGTAGAAATTATTTTTAAAAGTTTATTCACTCATATATAGGTTAAGAATACTCAATGAAAATAATTATTTCGTATCAACCTACTTAGCTCCAAAATGTAAATATGAAGGTTTAGATTTTTGTTAATTTTAGTTCACTGATAACATTACTAGTACCTAGAAGAATGCCTGGTGCATACTAGGTATTCAATAAATATTTTCTTAATAAGACATATTATTTATCTACATATATGCTGTCTTTCTTAATAATAGTCCATAATTAAGATTGATCAACTTATCTTCCAGAAACTGCTCCTACAAAATAGTTTCCAAATTCTAGCTTACAGCCCATTTCTTTGAATAATAAAATTAGATCATACCCAGAATCTCACTCATCCCTGATTTAGATGGTGGCATTTTGGATTTTTTTGAGTTGATGATATTTAGATGAAAATTTGGATTTATAGTTGATCCTGGAATGGATATAGACTTTTGGAGAAGCTGAGATGGGTTTTGGAGATGTTGAGGTGGGGTGAGTATATTTTGCATGAAACAAATATCAATGTTGGGAGGCCAGAGAGTAAGCTGTTGTGGGTTGAATAGTGTCCCCCCAAAAATTCATGTGCACTCAAAGTCTCAGAATGTGACCTTATTTAGGAATAGGTCTTTGTAGATAAAATTAGTGGAGATCACACTGGAGTTGGATAAATCCCGAATCTGATACTAGAATTCCTATAAGGAGAGTTCACAGAAACACACAGGGGGCGAAGGACACGTGGAGATGGAGGCAGACAGTGGAGTGAGGCAGCTACAAGGTAAGGAATGCAAAGGAGTGCCAGCAACCGTGGAAGCTAGGAGTGTGAATGGAACATCCTCCATCAGAGGCCCCACAAGGAACTAACCCTACCGACACCTTCATGTAGGACTTCTGGTCTTCAGAACTGTGCAAGAATAAATTTCTGTTGTTATAAGCCCCCAAGTTTGGGGTAATGGGTTTCAAAACCTAGGAAATTAATACATATGACAAAATGGATTTTGCAGATGTACTTAAGGTCTCCAAGATATGAATATTATCTGGGGGGGACCTGATCTAATCATATGAGCCACTGAAAGCCAATCTAGAGGTCAGATGGAATATCTCAAAGATTCAAAACCCAAGTTTGATAGGAAACACCTGTGCTGACATGAAGATGGAGGGAGCTTCATGACAGGGAGTGAAGGCAGCCTTGGAGCTGAGAGCAGTCTTGGGCTGACAGCCAGCAGGGAAGTGAGAACCTTAGTCCCACAACCAGAATGGACTTTGAATGGGCTGTTCTCCAGACACTTCAGCCTGGCTGATATTCTGACCAGAGAACTCAGTTATGACATGACAGTCATCTGGCCTCCAGGATCATGAGCTAATTAATAATTGCTTTTAGCCACTAAGTTTGTGGTAATCATAATAATAATTATTATTATTACTATTATTATTATACATCATTATTATTGTTGTTGTTATTATTATTATTATTATTATTTTGGTATCAGGATTGAACCTAAGGGTACTTAACCACTGAGCCATATCCCCAGCCCTTTTTATTTCTTGCTTTGAGACAGGACCTAGCTAAGTTGCTGAGGTTGGCTTTGAACTTGTGATCCTCCTACCTCAACTTCCTGAGTCACTGAAATTACAGCCGTGCACCACCACACCTGGCTAGTTTGTAGTAATTTCTTAAGCAGAAATAGAAAACTAATACACAATAGCTCACATTGAATAAGGCAGGATGCCAGATGGCCATAGTAGACAGTGGAAGAAGTATTAGACTCAATGATATGAGTCTGCTACAGTGGATATCCTATTTTCCTATTAAATAGACAGGAAAACCCTCCAGATTATACCCTTTATGGGAGCAACAGGGAAATGCTGGTGAGAGGAGCACTGCATAACAGCACTGAGAAGCTCTTCTGTAGGTGAGGACTGACAACCAGAAATGCTGTGACAGAACTGGGCTCACTGACAACAATGAGGATACAAGAATTCTGACACAAGAAAGACCAGAAAAGCCCCCAAGTTTGGGGTAATAGGTTGCCATCAATGGCCAAGTGTGGACACTACTGATTATCATAATAAGTACCAAGGAGTAGTAGCAATCTAATTCCTCTCAAGCAATGCTCACTTTCCTTAGCTTCCACCTTAACTAGGTAACAGAATATCTAAATAGAGAACATAACCTAGCCCTCAAGCTCAAGGACTGGTCAGTATTAGAAAATACTTAGCTCCCCACCATGTTAAAATGACAGATGAGAACAAACATTTGATCTGATCAATTAAATGCTACAAAGGCATTTGATGAAACTAGGTATCCATTAGGAGTTTAAAAATCTCATCGTGGTACTGGCTTAATTATAGACACACAGATCAATGGGACAGAATGAGAATCCAGAAAGAAGCTCATACATTGATAATTTTTCAACAAGGAGGCCAAGACCATTCAATCAGGGAAAGAACAGTGTTTTCAACAAATGGTGCAGATACAACTGCACAGCAACATGCAAAAGAGTAGTCAGACCACCGTTTCATACTATATGAAAAAATTAATCAAAATTAATCAAAATGGATCATAGACCTAAATTTAAGAATTAGATTAAAAACTAAGGCATAAAGCTTTAGACACAGGCAAACAAAAAAAACATAAGCTATACTTCACTGAAATTTTAAAAATGTATGCATCAAAGAACCCTATAAGGAATCTAAAAAGTAACCGACAGAATGGAAAAAAATTGCAAATTATTATGTGTAAGGGTCTGGTATACAAGAGATTCTTTTAACTCAACAATTTAAACTAACCTAATTTTAAAACTGGGAACAATGCCAGGTGGGATGGTACACACTTATTATCCCAGAAACTTCTTCCAAGGCAGGAGGATTGCAAGTTCAAAGTCAGCCTAGCATATACATGGTCCTGGGTTCAATTCCCAGCACTGCAAAATAAAACTGTCAATAGACATGTGTCCTGTGAAGATATGTAAATGACTAATAAGCATATGAAAAGACACTCGGCATCATTTTTTAAAATTATTCATTTATTTTTATGTGGTGCTGAGGATCGAACCCAGTGCCTCACCCGCACTAGGCGGGCACTCTACCACTGAGCCACAACCCCAGCTCTACTCAGCATCATTTATCCTCAGAGAAATGCAAATCAAAACCACAATGGGACATTATTTCACACTCTTGAGGCTCGCCAGGGGAAAAAAGAGATAGAGAGGGAGAGAGAGAGAGAGAAAAGAAAAGAAACAAGCCTTGTAAGAATGTCAAATGATACAACCACTTTGGAAAGTGCAACAGTTCCTCAAATGATTGAAGAGTTACCATTTTACCCAGTAATTTTACCCCTAGGTATATAGCCAGGAGAAATGCAAACTTATGTCTGCACAAACATATGTACAAAAATATTACAACAACATTATTCTTAGCATCCTAAAGATGGAAACAATCTAAATGCTCATCAACTGATGAACAGATAAAATGTGATATATCCATACAATGGAGTGGTACTCAGCCTTCAAAAACAATGAAGTTCTCAGACTTCTACAACATGGATGAACCTCAGAAACATCATGCTAAGTGAAAGATGCCATTTTAAGCTGGGCATGGTGGCACACGCCTGTGATCCCAGCTGCTCAAAAGACTGAGGCAGGAGGATCACAAGTTCAGTTTGGTGAGACCTTGTCTCTAAATAAACAATAAAAAGGGCTGGGGATGTGGCTCAGTGGATAAGTACCCCTGGGTTCTATCCCTGATACCGAAAAAAAAAGAGAAAAAAAAAAAGGCCATTTTGAGGGGATGGGGAAGGAGTATTTGCAGAAAAACTAAAGCTTGATCAACACTTTAGTCAATTATTAAATATAAAAGAGAAAATTTTTAAAGTATTAAAACTGGCAAAAGCATTTATAGGGGTTAGCACATAGCTCAGGGATAGAGTGCCTGCCTAGCACGCACAGGCTCTGGATTGATCCCCAGTACTACCAAAAATAAGTAAGTAAATAAAATGTGTAGTTTATATGAAAATAGCTAAAAGCAATAATATACAATAAGATAAAAAAATGAATAATTCAGTTGAAGAAGTGGCAAAGTATATGAACATAAAATTTACAAATTAATAACAACTATGACAATAAAAACTACTGAACATTTAGTATGTGCCAGGTACTGTTCATGTGTTCATGTATTTAACCTCCACAAAATCCTACTGAGGTAGTTAATGTAATCAATCATATTTAATCTAATTTTAATTTTTTTCCATGCTGAGGATCTTACCCATATGCTAGGCAAACTCTCTACCACTGAGCCACATCCCGTGTCCTCATTAACTCTGTTTTACATCATCCTTTCCCTCCTCTCCATTCTCAATACCCTCCTCCCACTTACACCTGTTACCTACCTTGTTTTAGTACACTGTCCTGGAATGTTAATTACGATCTACAAGAGGCTAAACAAAGGAACAACCCAAGAATGCAACTGTCTTCTCCCATGGTAAGAAATCTTTAATTGGGTGTGAAACTCTGGCAAGTGCTCACCACTGAGATGCATCCCCACCTCCACCCCCAAAGCTCTGTTCTTGAATTAGCTTGCTTCTTTTTTCTTTCTTCTCCTCTCCCTTCCCCTCCCTTCCACCCTTCCCTTCCCTCTCCTTCCTCTATTCCGGGCCTTTCTCCCTCCTCTTCCCTCCTTTCACTTATTTATTTCTATGTATCTATGTTAAAATTAAAACTGAGAGGTAAATCACATTAGCATGTTTCTTTGAATTAAAAAATAAAGTCAGACTTTTTTTTTTTTTTTTTTTTGGTATTGGGGATTGAACCAGGGGCCTTGAACATGGTAGAAAAGTACACTAGCCTGAGCTATATCCCCAGCCCCTAAAATCAGACTTTTTTTAAAAAGGTAAATCTGGTTTTGACAATGAGAACTAGTCTTATAAAGTAAGTAACAAATGCATCATTTTTCCTTAAATTAAATAAATGAATCTGCAGGTCCAAAGATTTGATAGAAATATATTTAAAATATAAGTAATATAATATTCTAAAAAACTATATTTCACAACTTTTAAACTTATGAAAAATGTTAAACATCAATTTTAAAACATAGAAGACACATAGTTATTCAAAAAAATTTTAGGGAGTTGAGAAAACATGTTTGAAGACCACTCCCCACTACACTGGCCAGTCAGTCAACTGAAACATGCTCAGCCTCACAGAAAAATAAAGTTGGTCAACAGTGAGATCTTATCTTTTCATCCCTCAGATGGGTAAAGATTTAAAAGTCTGATGAAATTCAGCATTTATGAAGCTGCAGGGAAACAGATTTATAAGAGTTACTATTTTGGTGGGTCATTTAACAATAGCAACTAAAGCTTAAAATATGCGTATTCGTTGCTGCTGGAAAAAAATCTAGAAGTCTACAAGTCAAGCTGTTAAAAACAGTTATATTCAAGAGGGTGGAATTTGGAAAATTTTTATAGATTAGTATTTTGTAAGGTGAAATTTTTACAATAGAGGATGGAAGCAGGATGCATTGGGCTAAAGTACTATGATGACTAAAGTCCAGAATGAGTCGCATATTTCTAGGACAGTGGAAGGAAATGGAAGCAACAGGTGGATGGGTGATCAGAGTAGATAACACCTAATGTTATTTAATCATGCAGTATCTAAACATGCAATACTTATTCAACTCTTAAGTTCTACAACTTTAGGATATTAAGAAATGATTCTTACAGACCATCTGTTATATTTCACTAATTTTTCTTAATGTCCACAGTTCAGAGTGTAGTGTTAATGCTCTTTCTCTCTATCCCTAGCTTATTGCAGCATTTTTCCATAGATAACTCAGTTATTTTTACCTCAATTCTGATGGATACCAAAGATTACAAGAGCTTAAGAAATGTCTATTTTCAGATATGATTTTCTGTCTATTTTCTAAGAATATTTTATATATTAATTTGTATTCTATGGAGGTATACATGTATCTAAATCAGGAACATAAAATTTGGACCCAGTTTACCCAGAAACCAATCAAAACAAGTCCAAAATGCTTTTAACTTTAACAATAATAACAAAAACAAAAGAATCTTTTAATATGCAAGAAAATGTTTGTGCCATGCTGTTGTAAAGGCTTTACAAAACCTACTTTAAAGTTGTAAGAAGTTAAGGTAATGATCATAGTAAAGTCTAATAAAAAGCAGAATATCTTATGTAACTTAAAACATTATATTTGTCATTTAGAAAATGATTATTTGAGTTGTTCAGAAGAATGCCTTCCTTTCTTACCTGTAAGGTTGTATTTTAGTCCCTTGGTTTTGAAATTCCAATGCTTTCTTCACAACAGCTTCATTTTCTTCTGGATAAACTGAGCATGTGCAATAAACCACTGCTTGAGCTTTAACAACTATATTTAAAGAAAATTTAATTAATATAATGACCCCATAAATGATCCAATGCAATTTATGTTTCCAGATATGTATTTGGTACAAACATCACAGAGTTCTGATGGGAATGATTTCCAGAGATGCTTGAACAGCTTCTTTTAAAGCAGAAGCTTATACTAGCAATGTGGTCAGTGGCCAGTAAGTAATAGAAATCCAGATGGATTGTATGAAAGTTGAAAACTGAATCAATATGACCAACCTAGTTGCAAACACAAAGAAATAAATACTGCAGATTCCCATGAGCTTGATACTTCCAGTCATTCTTTCATAAGCTTTATCACCTTAATTGGCTCAGAAAACTCCAGAAATGTACAGAAGTCAGTCTGAATCCCAATTCTGTCCTTGCTGTGGCATGAACCTGGGAAAATTACTCAAAGTTCCAGATTTTTCATCTGTAAAATTAGGTAATATAAGATCTGCAATTCACTAATGTATTCATACCAATTGAGCACCTACCACATTCCAGGCACTTAGGCTTTGGTATACATCAGTGAACAACAAAAAACGAAAATCCCTGCCCCTAGGGAGCTTCCTTTCTAGCAGAGGATAAATACAGTAAGACAAAGAAACAGGAAAACTATTTAGGTGATAAAGCAAAGCAGGGGTGGGAAAGAGTTTCGGGGGAATGCTATAATTTTAAGTAGGCTAGTTAGAGCTAGCATCACTGAGATGAAGGACTGTGGGTAGACTCAAAAGATTAGAGAGCCAGACACAGAGATAACTAGGGAAGGATATTTTAAGGTAAGGGAACAGCAAGTTTAAAGGAATGTTCAAGGACAATGAAGGGGGCCAGTCTGATCAGAGCAGAGGGAATGAGGACAGAGTAGTGGGCAATGATGTGTTTAAATGTGAGTCTGAGCACCAAATAGTAAGGATGTGCAGGCCACTGGATGATGGTTTTCAGTTTGATGATGGGAAGCCATTTGTTTTAACAAGATCGTTCCAAATGCTGTGTTGAAAATAAACTGTAGAGGGCAGTGGTGGAAGCTGGTAGACAAAATAGAAGATCATTGCAGTAAACCAAGAGTGAGGTGATGGTATGGATGTGGTGGTAGTGGTGGAGGTGACTGGATTCTAAATATATATTAAATGTAGAAGTTCCTTTGTTTTCTGACATGCTGGCTAAGGATGTGAATAAGAGTCAGGGACAATGTAAAGCTTTTTCACCTGAACCAATGGAAGACTGATATTGTCATTAACTGAAATGGCAGTTCTACAGGAAGAACAGGACTTTCATTTTGGGTCTATCAGCTTTGAAAGGCCTATTAGTCACTAGCTGGAGATGGCAAGAAGACAACTGAAGATACAGACTGAAGAGTTTGGGGAAGAAATCTGGGAGTCACGCAGAAGTGTTTAAATTCATGAGACTGGATAAGATCATCAAGGAAGTAAGTATAAACAGGAAAAAAAGAATCCTAGACATGAACTGTGACATACTCTGAGGTTAAAGAGAGTATCCTATAGGGAGGATACTCGCTATAGGATAGCAAGCCAAGGAGATGGGAAATAAATTGAGGTGGTGTGTCTTAGAAGACAAGTGAAGTAATGTGGGAAGGAAGAGAATATGATCAATTAGATCAACTATCACAGCTAGATCAAGTTACACGAAGACTGTGAGTTGATGTAACAGCATGTGGGAAGGGGGTCACAGGTGATCTTCACAGGACCATCTCAGGTTAGTGGCAAGAGTGAAAGTATGATAATAATTGGCTCAGAAAAGAACAAGAGGAGAGATTTAGAGAAATACTGTTCTCAAGAGAAGGGCAAGTTATAGGAGAAAAAAGAGAACATTCAAAGAAGTATTAAAATATAGGGATTTTTGTTGCAGACAACTATTCTAGAAAGCACAAAGTAGGAGACAAGGACCAACAAGGGGATGTGGATGAAGACAAAAAAGGGAATATTATAGATCTTATTCACATGAGGAATGACCTGGGTGTCAGGGGCTTCTCAAGTTAACAGTCCTTGGTAGTATAAAGGACATAGTGAGAAGTGTCTGAAATGTGGTTTTAGAAAACAGAGTAGTGGCAAGAATGAGTTTAGAGAGCAAAGAAATTTGGGGAGCCTAGCCACCTTGTTACTGTGTTCAGAGAAGGCATGGAAGATAAGGGAGACGATTTTGTGGGGATTAAATAAAATATAAAAAGTAAATAGCAGGGTGCCTGGCAAACAATTGACCAATAAATGTCCAAAACTTTAAAATGTAGCTGGGCACATAAAAATGTAGCTGGGTACATGCCTGTAATCCCATCTGCATGAGAAGTTGAAGCACAGGATCACAAGTTTGAGGCTAGACTGGGCAATTTACCAAGATGCTGTCTCAAAAAAAAGGAAAAGAAAGAAAAGAAAAAAAAAGGAAAAAAACTGAGGATATAACTTAATAGTAAAATGCCCCTGGGTTCAATCCCCAGTGCCAAAAAAAATTTTTTTTAATTATTTTTTACAACTAATAGGAGAAATGATCATAGTTATCTTTTATATGGTCAATTTCAAATGGAGCTTTTAGTAATTTCTATGAAAATTGGGAGTCCAACCCTGATAAGGCATTACCTAACATTGTTTTATGGGAAAATTATAGAACTTAATTTACTGAATGTCTTCCAGTGATGCAGATTTCCTAATCTCAAGGTTGCTAAATAATGTGTTTCTTTGGCATCACAGTAGAGTGTATGTCACTAAAATTCTTTTGCTTTTCATGATTCTTTCAGAAGTCTTTTTAAAGCTTTAAACATTCAATTAAAATGTGATGAAAGTACATTAGTAAAAATTTTTACTTACCAATCTCCTGATTTTCTAAACCAACTTATTTCATAGTTCATATATACATTTTCACATTCAAATTAATGTTTTTAGTAACATTAACCAAAAGAACAGACTTCCTCTCTGCTACTTTTCCTTATTTATAATTCATGTATAAGTCAGTATCTTTATATATTGAATTATCTATACTCACAGACCCATCTTTGAGTCTTTATTTTAGAAACATCTATTTATGTTCATAAGCCTAACATCCAGTTCAATTCCTGACCCAGAATAGGCACTTGATAAATATACACTGACCTAGTAAAAGTTTATTAGTTTCTTAAAGACTTCCAGATTTCTTTGTTCACCTGTGGAAAAGCAGTGGCACTCAAAACCCAAATGGAGTAATTAAAGCAATGTTATAATTACTTAAAAAGCCTTGTTATTCAGATTTCAAATCAAGAGTTCTGAGCTTTTTCTATAACTCTGGACTCTATTCAGCACTAAGAGAAATAAACTTTGGATTAAAATATGGACTGCAGAAGAGTTGATAGGAGTAGGTAAAATGACAACAGAAAAATATGTCAAGTAAGAAGTTGAAGATCAGAAATAGGGAAGATGAAAATAAACAATTACGAACATACATAATTATTTCATCTTAACATTAAGAAAAATTATGCTAGCTGATGTTTAAAGTATGTTTTTTTAAAAGGCAGGTTAAGTTGATAAAAATAATTTGTTACTTGAAGGCACTAAGACTTTATGTTCTAGAAAATTTGTTTTGGTTTCTAAGATTAACACTGTATTTTAACAATATTGTTCTAATGACAGACTTACATTTCATTGCATGTGCTAGCTGTTCATATTGATGTTGAGCAAGAACCTGAAGTTTATCTTCTGAAGTACCTCCTTGAGAGAGATCTTTAAGTAAATCTGTATCTAAATTTTAAAACAAGTAAATACTTTAAAATAAATTACTATTAGGTACTTTTCATATATTGATGTTATTGCACTATTTTTCAATCATTTTGACTATTAATGAAAATTTTCATGGAAAATACTTATTAAAACTAGATAACATTAAAGTATTCACTTAAAAATTTAAAAATTAATTAAGATAATTATGTTCAGTCTTAGTACTATTTTTCAATAAGAATATTAAAAACATTTTATAGTTTTTCTCCAAGTTTTCTTTGAGAGAATCAACTAAGTAGCTATATAAGTCATTTAGATTCAGAAGAAAGAATTCATTCAATCTGGAGGCTAATGCAGAAAAGAGAAAATAAAATTTGTTTTCTAAAATAGAAATTGATGAGCTATCATAATTTCAATAATTTAGAAATTAAAACAAGTACCTTCGTGTTCATTTAAAATAAATTCTATTGGATTACTAACACCCAGATCTGAACAACGAGGCAACAGCAGAATCACTTTAACTTTCTGTAACCTCTGATCCTTTGATTCAATGTCAGTAAATGTCTCAGGAAGTATTTCAATATCTGGGGGAAAACACAGAAAATTAATGTAATTTAATTAGCTAAAAAAATCTAAATGCAATATAGTGGTACTGCTTTATGTATGTATAATATATATAATTTATCTTAAAACCCTTAACCCCATAAAAACTCATTTTATTGCATTAGGACAGAGTATTCTCTGATAATCTCCCAAAGTTAATACAGGAATTTTCTTAATAGATGCTATTTCCACCGCAGAATGATTTTCAAATGTAAAATTAAATTTCTTATTCTGAACTTTAGGTTCAATCTAAAGTAGCATGATAGAGTAGGGGAAATGGGCTTTAGAAACAGACTCAAATTTGACTTCTAGCTGTGTGTCTTAAACTCTCTAAGCTTCCATGTCCTTATTTATGGACTGCAACGGTTTGTGCAAATGGTGAACATCAAGACAAAGTTGGTAAGCTTAGCATGGTGTCTCATATACAGTAAGGATAGTCAATAATATAGGCTATTTTCCCTTTTTCATTTTTACCCTTTATATTCTGTCATCCCTGGGGAGAAATGGCTGTCAGGAACATTTATAAGGCACAGTCTGAGGTGCTAAACCTACAGAAACAGGCATGAAATACCATCCATACCTCTAGGGGCCTTGTATGTAGTTTACGAGCATCTGTCTCTCTAGGTGATAACCATGTGTACCTCTACCTTAAAATCAACCCTCTGTTTGAGGCCATCTTGGGCAACTTAACAAAGCCCTAAGCAACTTAGGAAGACCCTGTCTCAAAAAATAAAAAGGACTGGAGATGTGGCTTAGTAGTTAACCACCCCTGGGTTCAAACCCCAGTACCAAAAAACAAAAACAGAAAAACAACCCCCTGAGAAGAGGGCAAGTTTATCAAAGAAATAAGCTCTGATTAACACTGCCAAGAACCAAAGGGATAAACAAACACTGGAGAAGAAAAGTCCTCCTCTCTTCGGCTTCAGCCTTGTAGTCTCTAGGACCCGCTAATGGCTGAAGCAGCTGGCAATGGGGAAATGGATAATGCAGAGTACAGTCCCAGTATCACAAAATTCAGGAGGTGAAGAAGTAACTGGCCTAGTTTCTGAACACACTTTTTCTTGGTTCTTCTCTCATGGCTCCCTTTCTGGATCCCTCTTATTTAACTTCCTGATCTCTTAGTATTGGCATGTCTAGGAATTAGCCTTTGGGTTTCTTTTCTTTACTATAGCTTTCTTTACTACAGCTATATAGTGGTCAGGACATTAAATATTATCCACATAATGACAAGTTCTAAATTTATATCTCTAACACAGACTTCTTTCCTGAACTCCAAAAAGGTGTACCTAAAAGCCTGCTTTACATTTCCACTTAATGTTGAACAGACATCTTAAAGCCTAACATGAGGCTGAGGATGTAGCTCAGTGGTAGAGAGTGCTTGCCCAGCATGTGTGAGGCCCCAGAACTGCAAAAAGCAAACAAGCCAACAAAAAACCAACACGACTGAAAGCCTTAGTGGATCCTGACTCTTCCCTTCTCTCACATCCCATATCCAATCCAATAAAGTGACTTCAAGATATATTTAGTCTGTCATTTCTCACAACCTCTGGCATTATCACCCAGGTAGAACTCAATATCTTTACACACCTGCCCCCTTTTTTCTTCTTCTGATATTTATTGAGCACATGTTGGGTAAACAGCAATATTAAGTAGGTGCTGGCCACCTACAATTTTCTTGGCAATAAATGCTTCCCTCTCTTATATGCATGCCTATGAGCAATGGAGAGGGCTGAGACATGAACAACATGCATGGTTTGAAAGGAAAAACAGAAATGCAGAATAAAGAAATAAGCTTTGTTTAGGAGGCCAGCAGATTCATATTTCAAATTCTAACTCTTATCCCCAAATCTGCTAATTCTGAACTTTTCACACCTGCACTTTTAAAAACTGCCTAACTAATCTCTCCACTAATACCTTTTACCCTAAACTATTTTCCAAAGAGTAACCAAATACTGGTAAGCATGTCACTCTTCTGCTTGAAATCCACTAATGAATTCCCATCTCATTCAAGGTCAAGTCCTTCAGCATAGAATGCCCTATTTTTGTTCCCAGATATACCCTGTGACCTCATCATACTCTTCACTCCAGTCTGCTCCATCCCTATCATTTCCTTACTGTTCCTAGAACATGCTAAACATGCTACAACCTCAAGGCTTTTATTCTTACTATTCCTCTGCTTTGAATGCTCTTCCCACATATATCCCTCAATTTCCTCAGGTCTCCAACAGTTCATTGAAGTCTCCTGTCAAATACCCTTTATCAGAAAGGCCTTTCCTAATCACCATCTGTAAAAAAAACAAAAAAATGAAAAAGAATAACCTCTTTACAACACTCTCTATCCCCTTAACCTATTGTTTCTTCATGGTTCCCCCCACCCCATCTTTCTCATACTATAATGTAAGCTTCATATAAAAGCCGAATTTGTTTCATTGCTGTATCCCCAAAAATATACTAGTGCCTGATACTTAATAACATGCATCAATAACATTTGTTAAATGAATAAATCATTAAAATTTCTTGATATACATTTCCTTTTTTTAATACTATTCTACCTCATCCCATTAATATTCTGTCTTAAAAATTCCTAGCCAAGCGCAGTGGCACATGCCTATAATCCCAGAGGCTTGGGAGGCTGAGATAGGAGGAGCTGAATTCAAAACCAGCCTCAGCAATGAAGAGGTGCTAAGCAATTCAGTAATACCCTATCTCTAAATAAAATACAAAATAGGGCTGGGGATGTGGCTCAGTGGCCAAGTGCCCCTGAGTTCAATCCCTGGTACCTGCCCCCCGCCAAAAAAAAATTCTCTACTGATTAGAAGATCAATATTATGAGATTCTCCCATGACATCATTTGTGGTAACAATTTATTCTGTATAAAATTCTATTGTGTAGATATTTAGGTTGTTTGTAGTTTGAGGCTTCAAAAATAGTGTGCTATATTTTGGATGTGATGTGTCCCCCAAGCACTCATGTATTAGAAGCCTAGTCCCAGTGTTCTAGTAATTAAGCAGCAGTAGAACCTTTGAGAGGTGAGGCTTAGTGAGAGGTAATTAGATCACTGAAAATGCTGCTCTCAGAAGGAATTAACAAGGGTCTTGTTGAGTGAGTTAGCCCCTTTTCAGGGAGCTGACTTAACTCTATGGGGTCTCATTATATTCTATAAGGGCACTAATCCTACTCTAGGACTCATCACCTCTCAAAGTCCCCATCTCCTAAGATATTACCTGGGGAGTTTGAATTTTAACAGGTGAATTTTGGGGAAAAACAAACTTACAGCATATGTTTGCCATATATTCTTACTAGAGTTCACATGTCTTCTTGAATCTATGGCTTAAAGATTTTCATTCATTTTGGAAAATTCCCAACCTGAAAAACAAATAATTGTTTCTTCCCAATTCCTCTTCTCTCTTCCTGAGATTCCAATTATAACACACATGCTATCAATGGATCACTGAGTCTCCTGAGTCTCTTTCATATTATTCAAACTTCTGTGCCCCTGTGCTTTAGTCTGAATATTTCTTTCTAGCCATCAGTTTACTTCTTTTTCTTTAGCTTTAATAATTTACTGTTAAGCCCATCCAGTCCTTCTTCCTCTTTTTTCCCCCTTTTTATTTGGTACTGGAGATCAAACATGCTCTACCCCTGAGCTATATCCCACTTATTTTTTAATTTCATATTTTTCCATTTTAGAATTTTCTTTGGCTTTGTGGGAGGAGCAGCGCTGGGGCACTTTACCACTGAGTTATATCCCCAGCCCTTTTTACTTATTTATTTTTATTTTGAGACCAGGATCTCTCTAGGCTTTGAACTTGCAATCCTACCTCAGTGTCCTAAGTACCCGGGATTACAGGTATGTTCACCACATCTGTCTTGGTTCCATTTTAAAAATTATTATTATTATTATTATTATTATTATAGTTTCCATGTCTCTGCTGAAATCTAAAGCTTGCTATTCAATTCCTTCAACACATTAATCATAGGTTACTTTGAAGTCCACATCTGATATACTCAGTATGTGGATCCTGTGTGGGTCTGATTCTATTGTAGTATCTTCTATTTATTTGAATCATATCTATCATTTCTTGGTATTTGGCTAAGATCAAATGTAGAATCTGTTATTAGGTTAATATTTGAGTCATTACTTTTCTTATTTTTTATCTATTTATTCAACTGAGTACCAGACATTGCATTTGAAAAAATTTAGGAGATAACTGGAAATTCAGGATGATGTTACTTTCTTCCAGAGAGAATTTACTTTTGCTTTTGGCAGGCAAAGAATGGGCTAGTTAAACCTGGGCACTATGGGCACTTGCAGTCCTAGATCACCTTGTCCAATTGGGAATTACGATAACTGGAATCTGGGCTCCATGATCATTATCCTGTGCTCTAAGAAAAATCGTCGGTATTTATCAGACTTCTTTTGGTCAAGCCCTGAATTCTACCTTTTGCCTTCCTGGCCTTGTGACTCTATCACAGTTTTGCTCACTTTTTCAGTTTCACTGAACCTATAATAAAATGTGATCTTTAGTATATACAATTGAGTGGAAATTTTCTTAAAAAACAGGAATCCTAAAAGATTTGGTTTTTAGACCTTCATATTATCTTTGTCAATTAAGTCTTATGTGAATATATTCTGATTTATTAAATGATGAGCCCCATCTACATGAACCAAATATTTGGGTCTCAAATTATGTTCACAACTAAATATCAAACACTGTTCCAAAGTACAAAGATATTAATTACTTTAACCTACAGTTGTTAAATCAACATTAAAAAATAGGGCTGGGGCTGGAGATGTGGCTCAAGCTGTAGCGCACTCCCCTGGCATGCGTGCGGCCGGGTTCAATCCTCAGCACCATATACAAACAAAGATGTTGTGTTTGCTGAAAACTAAAAAATAAATATTAAAATTCTCTCTCTCTCTCTCTCTCTAAAAAAAAAAAAAAATAGGGCTGTGGCTGCAGCTCAGTGGTAGAGCGATTGCCTTGCACTTACGAGAACTGGGTTCGATACTCAGCACCACATAAAAATAAATAAGTGAAATAAAGGTATTGTGTCCAATTACAACTAAAAAATAAATACCTTTAAAAAACATTAAAAAATAACAGCTGATGCAATATAGATGAGTGAGAATTTTAAGAGTATAGTTTATGGAGATTTTACATTACAAAAAATAAATTAATTCGAACATTTTTAATGTCTTTAAAATCCTGTAGAACAATAATCACCAAACAATACATATTTGTACGTACTTTTACATCCCATTTTTTTGAAAAGGTTGTTTAAGTCAGGATCCTTCTCTTGTGAGTTTACTCCACAAACAAATATTTTTGAATTATTATCATTTGTTAGGACTGACATATGGGCAACTGTGTACCATGAACCTGTGTTGACCATTAAGACGTCATCATCCAAATTTATTAAAGACTTTACAGAATGAACAGCAAGACTTCGAGATTTATCCTACAAAATAATAGTATGATGAGAATTTCAAAGAGTATGACTGAAATATAAACTGACTTCTTTTTGTTTAGATAAAAGAAAATACTTGGTAGGAATATTGAAGAGCTACCTCGTCCTTTTTAGATTAAAATATCATTATATATGTCTAAATAAAAAGTTAACAAATATATCTGATAAATATATTTATAACAAAGACCTTAAATTCATTTAGCCTAAGTAATGACTATCATTTGATTTTTTTGTATAAAAGACAATGCTAAAATCTCTAAAATATAATTAATAGATTAGAAATGTCTTGTCTTAGCTCCCATTCTTACCACTTCATGAAAACACATTCTCTGGTTATTGCCATTTTTTCTTCCCCATTATATTGTCAACTAAACTACTACTAGCTCACAGAAATTAAAATTATGAAGTTTGAAAATATTATGAAAGACGATTTGATGAACTAGCTTCTGCTGTTGACCTCAGGTTTTTTGTTTGTTCATTTTTGTGGTGCTGGGGAATGTAACCCAGGGCCTTATGCATGCGAGGCAAGTATTCTACCAACTGAGCTAAATCCCCAGTCCTTGACCTTAGTTCTTGATAAGGAGATTCTGCCCAGGAATTCACCTTAGAAGTCTAATTTGAGTCAAGAATTGGAGTCGAAGAATATAAAAATGAATTTCACCTAATTATTTCATTTCATTGAAACCACAGTATACCTCACATTCTCTGCCTGTATTCATATCAATTATGTACCTCTTACAAATCAAATCTATGACACTAAATTAAAGAGAGCACAACATGATACATGATTTGTATTTTATATGCAGGATGGCCTAATATTTTCCCCAGAATTGGAAAAAAGAAAAGATCTCATTGTAGCTTTTCTCAAATCTTTTCTTAGAAGAAGAAAAAAAGAAAAAAGCTTCTTTCAAATCTTAGAAGAAAAAAAAAAGTGCATCTTTCAGTTGTCAGTAATCTCATTTATGAGTCTTGAGAGGAGAATATGTTCTTTACAACTTCATGTGAGACTAAGATGACAAACATAATAGGAACACTGACTATGGAGTTATTAATTTTATTCAAGGTGACAATTAGGCCTTATAACCTCCCTGGTAATCTATAAAAAATATCAATAGTGAGGTATTATTTTTAGGTAGAGAGATTCTTTGACTAAGTAGCATTGTTGAAAATTACAATGAAAGTAAATAATACTTTACCTGAAAAATAAGTTTATAATCTTTGAAAAGATCTATATTTATAAGATCTTTTTTTAGATGAGATGGAAATATTAAGACATCATAGCAATGTTGGTCCACAGCAAAGACTTTATCATCAATATGACATACAGATTTGACTTCATTATAGCCTCTTTTCTTCAAATTAATAAAAACTTCTTCAGGACTGTAAGTATACAACATTAAGATATATTTAACATTAATACTTTTTTTCAGCAACAAAGAAAAATATTACTACATATATTGCATCTAGTAAAACTCACAATTTTAACCAATAATAAGCTAAAAGATAATTAGAAAACAAAAGTTAACATATTTATATAATCACCTTTGGTAATTTGGTGATAAGCTCTGGAATTAAACTATGATTCTCTAATCATTCCCCTGGATGTACCCCTTCACTCTTAAAAAGGTAATATTTCTTACCACAATTAAAAAAAAATTTTTTTTAGTTGTAGATGGACACAGTATCTTTATTTATTTGTATGTGGTGCTGAGGATTGAACCCAGTGCCTCACACACTCGACGCAGGCGCTCGACCATTGAGCTACGACCCCAGCCCCTTATCACATTTTTTAAAAAGGATGGCGACTTGAAGTATGAATAAAGAATTTGATTAAAACTCTTACCTGATTTTACAAGTATTTATCCAAGCATAAAGTGGCAGAGTAGAGGCCCTTAGTTCCTGTTTCCTAACTATTTCTGGCAGAATATGATAAATTGAAAGGGCATCATGTTTGATTCGACATCTTGCCAATGCTGCAGCCAATTTTGTCTTAAAACTAGAAACAGAAAATCAATTTTTGTTGACTACTGCATTTGAGATAAGACTATCCATTCCCCATTAGAAATATTAACAAAACTTTCAGAACTTTAACCAATTCATCTATAATTTCACTTCAAACGATCAAAGTCTAAAATAAAAATTTGTCAAGTGTGATAATAGAAATACAATAATCTTTTTCCTTTTTCTGTTTTTGCTGCCCCTGTATTTTAGTTGTGCATTCCTCGAATATTTATATCTATTGTTAGTTGAAAAACTAATATTATTTAGTGAAAAGGATGTAGAGTCAGACAAATCTGAAGTTAAATCCAGGTTCTATCACTTAATAGCTATGTGACCTCAGGAATATTACCTAATCTTCTTTGGCCTTAGTTTTCTCATCTGAAAGGATGGTCAACTTACTTCACTATTAATATAGTCATTACCAACCAAGTGTACAAAATATTTAGCACAGTGCCTAGCCCATAGCAAGCACTGGCTAGAGATTAGTTGTTATTATCATAGATGGCAATAATATAATCTTGAGAAGAATAAAGAAATTTTATGAATCTGTATCAAATCCTGTCCAGTTCTGAATATCACATGCCTCAAAATTCCAAATAACGGAAAAGAAAAACAAGAACTGGTTAATATCACCATGAAGACCCAATAAATGTTTCATAAATGAGAACACATATTCCTAGCACTTTCATGGTAGGACTCTAACCAAAATTAACCTCAACTATAACCTTGAAGCAATGAGGAAGAGATGTCACAGTTGTCATGAACTTGATGTGTGGTACAGAAAGAAATGGACATTCTCAAGAATTGGTGTCAGGTCCAGCTAATTTGCTTCAGAGACTGGGAGGCAGGACAAGGGTAGTAAGTGAGGAGCTCAGTTTTATTTCAGCACCAACTGTTAAATACTACTTTATTTTCCTTATGGCTGCACTCTCCCTTATTTAAACTTCATATATCTCAACAGCACGAGAACTTCTCACCCATAAAAGTATTTATGTGAGAATGCATGTGTAGTTATGAGAAAAAGAACATGAGGCACTTAGGGAGAACAGGAAGGGTCATCAAATGTTAAACCTTTTGGGCTACAATAAAATAGACTTGTCTAATCCTATGTCTAAATGTCACAGTAGGGGACCTAAAAAATGACATAGTACATTAATACACATCAAAGAATAAATTAATATAAAGAAAGTGAGTTACAAGGTTAGAGGGAAGGGAGGGGGCATGGAGTTATTAATGATGGTGGAATGTGATGATCATTATTATCCAAAGTACAGGTATGAAGATATGAATTGGTGTGAATATACTATGTATACAACCAGAGATATGAAAAATTGTGTTCTATATGTGTAATAAGAATTATAATGCATTCCACTGTCATATATAAATTAAAATTTTTTTAAAAAGAAAGTAAGTTACTATTCTATATTGCACACCATGAAATGTTTGATTACAGAGTATTTTTGATAAAACAATATTTTTAAATACCTACTTAGTTCAAATTTACAATAATAAATGCTATTAATTCAATTTGTGTGTTATCACAGAGTTGCACATATTCCTCTTTTACCAGTATCCCTATGCATACAGAGTCAGAGCTTCATTTCTAAATGTTAAATTATAATTATATAATTCTTGTTTAAATCTTAAATCCATTAGCTACAGAACAGAAAGTACTTGTCATGGTAAATGAGGATAATATAATAATAATAACATATAATAAGAATAACCTTAATAATAATATTATAACTTTAACCAACTCTTCGAGGGGGCAAGGGGGTAGGAATGAAGGTGGAATGAATTAGACATCATTACCCTAAGTAACATGTATGAAGACACAAATGGTGTGAAAACACTTTGAGTACAACCAATGACTTGAAAAATTGTGCTCTACATGTGTAATATGAAATAAACTGCATTCCGCCATCATGTAAAACAAATTAGAATAAATAAATAATTTAATAAAGGGGAAAAAAATAGGCTCCTCCTGCTGAAACCTTATCCCAGCCTTTGGTATACTCCCCCTTAAAGAACCAGGGCCTTTTTTTCGTTATTCAGTTCCAGCTCCTATCAGGGCTAGAAGACCCATCAGACACTCCTCTTTTTATATCTAATTTCTGGCTTTGTCTTTATTTCTTACTATTATTTCAGACTTTTTACTTTTCCAGGCGGCTCACACCTCCTGAGCAGGAACCTGCTCTGTCAGGGTGCTGCTCACCCTGATAACACAGGCATCTGTTTCAGAATCTTCACTAAATAAGTGAAATAGGTAAAGAGTTTCCAAAGAAGGACTGGAATATGAGAGATAAAACCCATAAGCAGTGTTTAAGAGGCATTATAGGCAATTATAGGAAAAATAAGAAAATGAATATAATTGAGCAAATATGATTTATCTGCATGGTTGTTTTAATACCCATAAGTCATTTGATATAATTTACCTTACTATTCAACAGTATAGAAGAAAAAATATCAATGGTTATTTATTTTTTTTTTTTTTACTTCCTGCATTGCAGTTTGGAAAGTACCCCAGGTATGAAGCCAAGATTATTCTAAGGCTCAATTCATTTGTTTTTGTCATCTCAGGATCAAGTTTCCAGGCTGTTTCTTGTGTAATATCCAAAACTTTTACCTAATATATTTTATCCAGTTTTCTAGTTGCTTACAGTGGGCGGACAAGTCTGATTCAGGATACTCTATCATGATCATATAATTACATTTTTAAAATATCACCCTACCTGCCATGTGGAATGGATTGTGATAAAGTAATAGTAATAGTAGTAGTAAAGAGTTATAGGCAGGAAAACCTATGAGGAAGCTGTCATAATAGTCTAAGTGATAGATTTTGGTGGCATCGTTTTGGAAAGAAAAGTAAGTGAACAGATTCAACATTTCTGAACTTGAGTTGCAGGACTTCATGCATTAGATATGGTAGGGCCAATGGAGGGGAGGAAGGGAGAATCAAGGATGATAGCTAGGTTGATGGTAACTTCATTGTAACATAGAAGACTTCAGGCTGAATAGTTTTGGGAGGATGGAGTCACTAGATCCTTCCCCACTGCCACTCTATTCTTCTGTTGCCTATTTCACCCCAATTCCAGCCCATGAAAGTTCAACAAATTATTTGGCAGAAGAAGAGTTTAAGCAGGTGGGAAGGCATAGGGAGCAAGAAGCAGCAGTATCTCTCTCTCTCTCTCTCTTGTTCATGAGCTATAATTTTTTATTAGTGCTTCATAGCTAAACATAGTAGTTAGATTCTTTCCAACAAACTCACACATGCATGGAAATCTATTTCAGTTCATCTCCCCCTCTTCCTGGCCCTTTTCCCTCCCATCCTCCTCCCCTTCTCCCTTTCTCCTTAATTTATCATATAGTACTAAAAATCCCAGCAGCTCAGAAAGCTAAGACAGGAAGATTGTGATCAAAGGCAGCATCAGCAAAAGTGAAGTGCTAAGCAATTCAGTGAGACTCTGTCTCTTAATAAAATACAAAATAGAGCTGGGGATGTGGTTCAGTGGGAAAGTGCCTCTGAGTTCAGTCCCTGGTACCCAAAAATAAAAATGAATTTTACACAAGGAATGAGTTCTTAAAGACCTTTGTGTATGTCAAAAAATGATGATAGGTGTCATCTTAAATTGCATCTCTGAAGCTGTGAATAAATGAAGAAAAGGTACAATCTGGTATAGAGAAGTATTAGTGTGAAAAAACACAAGGATCCCTGGGAGAGACAACAACAAGCACAATTTTCCTAAGGAGGAAATACTTCTCATTCAATTTCTCAATAATTATTTCTTCTAACATCTTTTAAAATGAACCTTTATCCTATCACTAGATATATACTAAAATATACTTTGAAGTTTGCGTGATTCTACTTCCCAATAGTACCCACCCTAGAGCCCCAGAAGATCTTCAGAGGTTGGCACCTACATATTGTTTGCAGTTGGGAATTGGCTATGGAGGATTGGTCCAAAAGAAGGCACCTGACCCATATTGAGCCAATCAAAATTCCTCTCATGGGAATTTAGATAGGTAAATTTGTTGTTGTATTTGTTTTACCATGCTAGGGATTTAACCTAGGGCCTCATGCATCCTAGGCAAGTGCTCTGAGCCATACCCCAGCCCTACTCATGGGATTTAGAATTGGGATATAGAAATGGTAAGTATGTCTCCACTAAGAAACTAGCATAAGACTATCACATATAAGTTCAGGTATGGGGGTAAAACAGTAGGAGACTTTTCTGTATAGACCAGAGAAGCAGAGAAGACAAAGGTGCGGAGAAAAAGAGAATGAAGCAGATACTAGGAAACAAGAGACAAAAAAATAAAGAGATAAAGAAGCAGCTGGATATAGTGGCATATACCTGTAATCCCAGCAGGAGGCTGAGGCAGGAGGGTAACAAGTTCAAAGCCAGCCTCAGCAATTTAGTGAGGCCCTAAGCAATTTAGTGAGATCCAGTCTCTAAATAAAAAATAAAAAAAAGAGCTGGGGTTGTGGTTAAGCACACATAGGTTCAATCCTGATTTAAAAAAAAAAGCAAAATTAAAGTCCTAACATTTTTCCAGTTCCTGACTTCAGTCTCAGTTCCTGAGTCTTTGAATTCTATCTGTAAGAACACAATTCAAGGGACTGGGGTTGTGGCTCAGAGGTGGAGCACTCACCTCACACATGCGAGGTCCTGGGTTCAATCCTCAGCACCACATAAAAATAAATAAATAAATAAAAATAAGGGTATTGGGTCCAACTACCACTAAAAAATAATATTAAAAAAAGAACACGATCCAAGTATCTATAAGAACATTTTCCATTTTCACTCAAGCTAACTGAAGGTGGTTTCTATTACTTGAAAGCTAGAACTCTGAATTAAAATACTGTAACTCTTTGTATGTATATTTTTCCCATCACTGCTCTACTAGTCTCAGTAATTCGATTACAAAATACTGCATATAATGAATGGAGCATAATAATAATATAATGGGACTGATTAATTTTGGGGAAGACCCACTGTGCTGACACCAATGGAATCTACCAGACCAGAGGAAGGCAGTGAGTACTATGGGGAAAGGGAGAAAACTGGGAAATTAGGAGTCCCTACACAGTCACACAATCTGATTCCTCTGGCCTACCAAGACATCCCCTTGGCCTGTCCAACTCCTACCTGCCTCACTAGCTTCCTCAGCTAAAGTCTACTACTGATGAAATCAGTCCAGTCTTTCTTACTTGGCTAGAGCCTGTGGCTTTCCTGGCTAACTCAGCCTAACCTCAGCTCTCATTAGCTCCTCTGAGACTATCAAGATAGCCAGGAAAGTGTCCTAAGTCCTCACTTAGAAGCATAAGAAAACTGAAACTCAGAGCCTGTCCCACAGCTTATTGTTCCAATAAGTTTTCTACCCCATCCTGGATGCCTGTTCTGGAAAGCAGGATGCCCATGTGGGTATGAGGAGGGAAGTGTTTCCCCCAAAACCCAAGTGGTAAACATAGGGTAGATCCTCACTTATCTAACACAGAGTACATATATCTGATTGCTTTTGCTCTTCTCCATTCCCACAATTTCTTATGGCTGATTGACATAAGCTATGTCTATGTCGTGTCTTTAATCTAGCAGCGTACCTCAGCCAAACCAGTCTGAAGTGGTATGGTAGCATATAAATAGTTAAAGCATAGACTCTGCAGCCAGACTACCCGAGTTTGAATTCTGGCTACTCCCCTTTCTAGTTCTGTGGCATTAGACAGGTTACTTTAACCTACTAGTTCCCCAGTTTTCCCACGTTACAAGTTGGTGAAAGTAACCAACTCATAAGGTTGTTATATAAACAGCTTCTTAGAAATGATTGAGGCATACTAAAAGTTCAATAAAGCTATTATTATTATACTATTATATGAGTCCTCTGGTTTCAGCCTTCAATAATTTAAATAAAATGATTTGGATTTCTCATAAAAATAAAATCAGATATCAAATTAACAATTGTTTCAGACTATTCATTAGGTAAAATACTTCCTGCAAGATTGTTTTTGTTGCTATATTGTACATTCTATTAAAATTCAACAACATAATAAGAAAAACTATAACCAACACTGTCTTAGTCTGTTTTGTGGGCAATAATAGGATATTAAGAAAATTTATGAGTAATTTTAAAAGAACACAAATTTATTTTCCCACAGTGCTAGAGGTTGGGAATTCCAAGATCGAGATGTTGGCTTCTGGTGAGAGCCTTTTTCATGGCAGAAAGCAGAAGGGCAAGGGTGTAAGACAGCAAACCCGCTTCTGCAAGCCCTTTTAATAATGGCATTAATCTACTCAGGAGGACAGAGCCCTCATGACTAAACAGCTGCCACACTGGGGATTAAATTTCCAACACAGAACTCTGGGAGACTTATTCAAACCATAGAAAATAACAACATATGGGGCTGGGGATGTAGCTCAAGCAGTAGCACGCTCGCCTGGCGTGTGCGGGACGCTGGTTTCAATCCTCAGCACCATATAAAAATTAAAAAAAAAAAAAAAAGATGTTGTGTCTGCCGAAAACTAAAAAATAAAAAAATATTGTAAAATTCTCTGTCTCTCTCAAGTCTATCTTTAAAAAAAGAAAAGAACAACATATCACTTATTGACCATTATTATGTGTCTGGTTCTATCCTAAGCACTTTACGTGTATTAATTAATTAGTTCTCCCAACAACCCTTTGAGGTAGGCATTTATTATCTTCATGGTAGGCATGTGTTGATATTTAAGATAAAAAGGAAAACTTAAATCCCGTTAGTTTGTTCTTAGAAAAATAGATTTTTTTTTCTGTTTGGCAAAATGGTATGTTCTTGTCCACATCAGACTTTCACTTTTGATTCATATTAGATTTTGTTTTTAAAGACATGTAAATAAGATGGATGTGAGGATGAACTGGCTGTGACATCTGTCACCCCACTGATTGCCCAGGTTGATTTTAGCTGATCTAGCTGGCTAGGTGGGAGTCCCCTTGCTCCCTCACCACTCCATGTACATCCCACCCGAAGCTGCAAAGCTGTGTGCTTGGTCAAAGAGGATGACCTTCCCCGATAGAGGAGGAGTGGTCTTCATTCAAGGGTATACAGACTAGCTGAGCTCCCCTGCTAGAACCTCCAAACAAGCTCTCAAGACATGAAAGTAAAACTAAGGAAAAAAGTAATAGCTGCTTCAGATGAAGTCTGAATTATGTACAAGCCAAAAACTATTAAGAATTTTTAAAGATTCTCACGTTAATACATTGAATCTTATAATTCAAGGTTTCTAAACATTTTGATTTTTAACAGGATAATCTATTCAAAATTGTTTATAAAGGAACTCAAGAAAATTTTTAAACTTGCATATTTCATCTCCATAAAATTTTCACACACACACACACACACACACACACACACACACACACTATACTACATACATTTTTTGCCAATAAAAATAATGATATTGATTTTAAATATTAAACCATTTTTACTTATAACTTACCTGTTAAGAAGGTTCTCTACTTCTTGAACTTCCAATATGGACTCTTCATTATCAGAAAGAACACGATTTTGAAATTTTCTATCTTGAAAATCATACAGCATCACAATAATAAGACTGCTCAAATGATCTGGCTACCAAGAGGAAACACACAAAAAGAAAAGTATACAAACAAAATCTAATAGCAACATTTTACAATCCATTATTTTTCATAACAGAGCAGGAATGTGACAATATTTACAAAGTCTGGTTAGACTTGAAAATAGGGAAGGTCTTCAAAATAGAAAATAAATCCAGTAGAAAAAATTTCAAAAAAAAATTTTTTTGTACTTTCATTAAAATGAAAAGGAAAGGGTTCAAACTAGAAGCAGGAAACAACCTGTAGTTTGAAGCAGTCTCAGCATTAAGCAAACTAGCTATTATTTAAATATGAAAGCTTTTTAATAATTAAGAATAATCATGACATAAACTGATTCTAAAAGTTGTCTACTTACTATTGTGGTACTTGGGAAGATATAGCTGTCGATTAACATAGTTTCCAAAATATCTTGATCTGCAAGACAAGGGAAATGCCTGTTTACCAAAGATACCAAGGCTAAAAATGGAAACTTTGGAGTCAAAGTATACTTTAAATAATGCCATAAGGTAAGTTTACTTTCATATCCAAAGTGTATTTGCATTCTTAATGAAGACTTAAATTAAAATGACATGATAAAATATTTATAATCTTTATGAATCCTGGGCCCTAATGGCCAGGCTTCACATAGAATCATAGTCAAATAAGCACTCTCTGAATAATCAAAGTAGTCATAAAGGAATTTCAACCTTGCAATTTGTCTTTTGAAAGACATAAAAAGATACAATTAATAATGTTAAACAACCCTTCTCTTATTCTTTTTAAGTATTCCTATTTTTTGCTAATATTTTATTTAGAATTTTTGTCCTATATTTATGTTTATGAGGTTTCAAATTTTCTTTCCTTGTAACATCCTTGACAGTGTTTCAAGGTTATACTAGCCTTATAAAATTAGTGGGAGGCATTCCCTCATCCTCTATTCTCTCCAGTAGTTTAGTTAGAATGGCATTATTTCCAACTTAAATATTTGGAGAACTCACTAGTGAAGATGATGATATGATATCTAATTTAAGACTTAAGTGACAAGGAATTGGGGGGCAGAGTTGGAGAGACAGTAGGCCAGATAGAGAGAATAGAATGATTATTACAAAGGTACTACATGGAAAAAAGTGGGATTTTTTTTCCCCCTTTTTGGTACCAGGGATTGAACTCAAGAGCACTAGACCACTGAGCCACATCCCCAGTACTATTTTGTATTTTATTTGGAGAAAGGCTCTCACTGAGTTGCTTAGCGCCTCACCTTTCCTGAGGCTGGCTTTGAACTTGGAATCCTCCTGCCTCAGCCTTCTGAACTGCTGGGATTACAGGCATGCACAAAAGTGGATATGATATATTTTAAAACTTCTACGGTACATGAATGTTCTTTTGTGATATAATTACTTAAACTATACTTACATATTATATGCAGTTCATTTGTGTGTGTGTGTGTGTGTGATGCTTTAGTCAGCTGAACAAAAAGCAAGGCAGTCTTCAATTTGTTCAACATTTATGGAAAACCTGTTACATGTGAGGTAAGCTGAATTTAAACCTTTATTTGGGAGATGGGAAAACTAGAAAGAATACTAGTTTGGGAATATAGACTCCAATTTTCAAAGGAAATCTTTTGTGGATCATTATCTATATTTTAGCCATCAATTATGGATATATATTGTACAAGGTAATGTTCCCATTTCATTTATAAGGAAAATGAAGTTCATAGTTTTACATCCTAGTACTTGTGAACCAATTTTGTGTCTCTGAAATCTCTTGCCTTTGTGTCTTTCTTTATCTGGGGCTTTGAGTCCCATAGTAGACACTATTAGTTGAGTAACTAAGGGCAGCGACATGGGCACTCTATAAGACTGACCCTCAATAAAAATCCTACATGGCAAGACTCAGGTGAACTTCCCAGGTTGGCAATACTTCATTCTTGTTGTCATATGTCATTATCAAGAGAATTAAGCACTTGTCAATAAGACTCCATTGAGAAAGAACAACAGGACACTTGCATCTATCTGCTCCTGGACTCTGTCCTACATACTTTCCTGGCTACTGATTCTAATCCATGTCCTTTTGCTGTAAGAAACTGTAACCTTGAGTATAAAAGCTCTGCTAGGCTCTATGAATTCTGTTAGGGAATTATTGAACCTGAGGGTAGCCTGGATAACCCTCTGCTACAATTACTAATACACAAAAGTTAGAACCAAACCATGTGTTAAGCATTTACTAGGTTTTTCAATTTATATACTTCCCAAAATGACAGAATATGTGTGATTCCCAAATGATCAGATTAATATCATAGTCAGTTCCTAGGAGTAAAAGTTGACCCATTACTACATACACCTAGAAAACTCAAAGAAAGATTAGCCAGGAAAAGATCAGCAATTTCAGGGACCTCTCTCTCTCCTTAAGTTGTTTTTGTCTTCATTTCCTTTTATTGGTCGTTCATACATCTCTTAAGAAATCATTTCACCAGTTTTTCTTTTTAATATCTATTATTACTGAAGCATACAGAGATTCGTTGAAAAATAAACAAATTAGCTGCTAGTCCTCTACAGAAGTCAAAAAATAGGAACAGGTTTCTCTTCATTAGTAATTATTCTACCTTGTTTAGCAGAAAACTGACCTTGTGGTTACCTGGTAAAAATAGAACTAGTTTTTATTTTTAAAAAAATCATAATGAGGCCTTTAAAACTTTAAAAGGTTAATCAGATAAAAATTCTACTTGCTTGAAAGAGTTTATGCAAAAAAAAAAGGACATCCACAAAGACACAAACAATACAACTGAAAAGCATAAAACACAACTAAAGGGATACACTTAATATTTGTATAATTTAGAGATTTTGGTTTTTCCTTCTCCTACTTTCTCCAAAAATGATGGTAATAAGATCTAATCACCCATTCACAAACTCATAAATGAAAGGGACTCTCTAGTTTATACAATAACTTCTAGAACTTTACTGTTCCTGTAAGACCTTAGGGATGAAATCCTGTTTTGTTTTTCTTAAATCATGACTCTCTGAACATAAAATATATAAGCCAAATGTGAGTTTACAAATTTCATACCTCTTCAAGGTGTCTCTTTGAGAAGCCATATGCTCATCAGTTTAGTCAGGCTGCCAGTACTCCCAAACATTTAGGGAAATTATTTTTGGACCTACATGCAATTTACAAACCAGTATAACATTTATGGTTACAACTAGTACACAAACAAAAGACTCCTGACCTTTTGACAGATTTCCTCTTAGTAACAATATCTGGTATTTTCCTAGAGTCAGCTCCACACTCAGAAGTTGATAATTAACAACCACAGTGGAGAGAATCTGAAACATTGGGACTGGAACCCTGGAGGCAGAGAGGGAAATTACACTGAAGTTGGGCTCCCCAAATTAAAGCTATCTGCTAAAAATGGAATCATCTAGGCTGGGGTTGTAGCTCAGAGGTAGGGCGCTTGCCTAGCATGGGCGATGCCCTGGGTTTGAACCCCAACACCAGGTAAAAATAAAGACATTTTTAAAAAGTGGAATCATCTTAATTAGGGTTAATGGTGATACTCATTTTTAAAATATTGCACCTTTTCGTTTTATTTCATGTCTTTTTCCAACATTCTCTTAATGGTTTTATGTTTATGCAAGCTCATAAACTAATATATAAGATGTACATACAGGGAATGGAAAGACACTCAAGGAGGCTCTTGTTCTCCCTACTAACAGAATCGTTTTCAGTTCATTTTATTTATTTTTTAAATATTTTTTTTTAGTTGTCAATGGACCTTTATTTTTTATTTATTTATACGTACTGCTAAGAATCGAACCTAGTGCCTCACACATGCAAGGCAAGCGCTCTATCATCACTGAGCCACAACCTCAGCCTCCAGCTCATTTTAATGACCGTGCAGCAAATTTAAGGACAAAGCACTTGGCTAGGTACTGAGAAAAATAAGGAGCTAGTTCCACTGCAGCTTCCTTAATTCCTTGACGTTTGCAATTAACCAACGAAGTGCACATGGGTTAAAAAAAAAAAAAATCTGATGCAGATTTGAGGGACTGCATTTCACAGATTCTCTCCTTATCGTTTTATTCTAGTGCTGATCTTCAAGACTGTTACTACTCACACTTCAGGGTACTGAAAGCCAGCTCATAGGACAAACGCTGTACGGATTCATCCTCAAACTCGGGCAAGGACGGCAGGGGTTCATTCCCGTACTTTATTAAGATTTTATCTGACGACTTTTCCACTCGAATACCCTGAAAAATGTTCGCCGCCAAAACGTACACGGAGTCCGGGTAGCCCGTTTTTTCGGGTACAACAATCGAACTTCTTTGGGTGGATACTGTGCCACCTGACACCTCCAGGGAAACGAACTGGGAGATCTCCTCGACATTGTTTTCGTCCGAAAACTCCAGTTCACTGGCGGAGTTCAACATGTTTGCCCCTTGGCTGTCGTTAGCTCAAGCTTCAATGACAATTAAGATGTTCCGGGAAATGGTTTTCCTTGTATCTTAAGCATCGTCTCTGTGGAAAGAAAAGGTTATCTCGGTCAATCACTATTTCTGCAGCACCTCTCTGGACGGCCCCTGGGTTGTGGCGTCAAAGACTACGAGGTGGCATTCACTGCCCGGTCCAAGCATCCCATCCTGTGAGTCAGACGAGCCCCAAGAGAAACTTCCAGCACTCAGAAAGGAGAGGAGAGATGCAGAGCCGCTTCCCAAGAGACGAGCGACGTTTACCGTGGCCAGGGTGGGGACAGAGGGCCCCAGTGACCGCAACTGCGGCCCCGCAGGCGCTGGTCCCCTGCTCCCACAAATCCGCCCTTACCCCGAGGGCGGATGTTTCCCAGAGCTTTGGGGTCAGAGACGCGGCAGCCCCTGCACTTTGGGTACTGAGGCTGGTGTCGGCAACAGGCCCTCGGGAGCTCGGGGCTGAATCGGTGGCGTCTGCAGCGGCAGCTACCCGCGAAGGCCGTTTGGTTCAAATGCAGCCACTCCCACCGTCCAGGTTCGGGCAGGGGGGACACAGCCTCCAACGCTGGGCGCAATCGGGCTCCTCGAAAGGGGGCGCGGCTCTAGTCCTGGCCCGGCCTCGTGCGGCTACCTTCGCGGACGCGGCGGCGGAGAGGGACGAGCGCAGCACCGCTGGACCGGCGGGCGCAGGCGGCGGAGGACTCGGCCTCCCCACGCTCCTGCGGTCGACTGGTCCTGAGCGCGGTCTCCATGGCAACGGGAATGGGCGGGCGCCGCGCTCAGGCTATTCCCGCGGGATTTGGCCGGTGGCGCCTCTCGCCGGGTAAGTGGCTCATCGTCTTGTGAGCGGAGTGGCACCTGCTCGGCCCCGTCTATCACACGTGGCCCGAGCGCTCACGCTCTGTCAAAGTAGTCTGCTGTGGTTCCGTGGTTGTCAACTCTCAAGCCCTTGAGGTTCTCGTTAAAAGTGGAAATTGCTAGAAACCATCCCCAGAGATGTGTGGTTAGAATCCGTAGTTCCGGGGAAGGACCCGGGAATTTGCATTTTCCTCAGGTAACCCAGGTGATTCTGATATAATCAGCTCGAAGACCACAGTTCGAAAAACTCTCGTCTGGTTATTCCACCTCTGTCACTAACTCTGTCACTAACTTGGAAAAGCCTTTTGGCCCCTGTGAATTTCTTTTCCCTCTCCTAGAAACCCGATTTTTTGTATGTGTGTTGTATTTGAATCTTCCATCCTCCTACCCTCCTGCTGTGCGGTAGCTTCTTGGCCACAGGGTAAAACCTTTGAGAGAGGCAGGACAGGTCTTCTGGTATCTGACCCTTGCCTCGCTTTCCATCGTCATTGCTTGCCACCCTTAAGCCAGCTCCCCAACTTCCATCTCTGCACACACGCCCCTCAGACTTGAAACCCCTCCCCGCTAGGTCTACCTGGTGAACTCAGCGCCAGCGCCACTTCTGTGGCAGCCTTTCCTGAAGTTTGCATTTGTTAGGATATAAATTTAGCCGCTGAGACAGATCTAAAATAATCTTGGGCTTAAAACAGAAGTTTGTTTCCCACACGAAGTCCTGATGGACTGGTGATACTCCTCCACAAAGTTGTCAGGGACCCAAAGTCCCACTTGGGATTGCCTCTAAGGGATTTGCCCTTGTCGGCTGAGTCTAAAATGGTGAATCCCCAAGCCCTTTTCAGCCAGTAATAAAGGGGGATGAAAGGGTACGAGAGGGCATGTCCATGCCCTTCAATGGCACAACCTGAAAGGTGCACACATTACTTTTGCTTGCATACCATTGGCCAGAATGTAGTTACATCGCATACTAGCTGCAAAGGAAGCTGGGAAATGTGTCCAGCTAACTATCAGGAACTTTACTAAAAAAAAAAAAAAAAAAAATGGATAATGGGGAAAATTAACAGTATTTCTGGGCTGGGTCCACCCACTTCCATCATTTCCAGGATGTCAAATGTTTTCTGTGTTCCCATAAAATTTCTTCATGCATATATAGATTCATTCATTTAATAAGTATACAATAACTTATTACTGTGTGCCTGTTCTTGTGTTCAGCACTGGGAATGAAAAGTGAATATACAGAAATAATCAAGGACCTTGACTTTAAGAAATTAATGGATGAATATACTTGTATTTTGGTATCCTTCAATTTTCACTTACAAACATTTGTGTATATTTCTGTATTGCCCTCCTTCTGCCATCTGCACACAACATACACACTCTAAAATATTTCATTAGGTCTTTATTATCTTCTTGTTTCTATTACATATCTTTTTATTTCCAGGAACAGCAAAATATTACTTTATCACAGAAGATTAAAAATATGGGAGGTAACTTGGAGGTCATGAGGCATTTTATCATGCATCACACAGTACAGTCTGTAGAAAATGTGAGACAAGAGTTATAAATTTTTAAATATTATAGTCTTACAAAATATAATCTGACAAGCTTGTCTTCTCATATAAGTAGTTTAATGTAGTGACCCTTCACTATAGTGAAAACAAGATGTAATAAAAGAATCCACACCCAAAGTAGAACTTAGGCAAACAGTTGGGAGTTAGTAAATCCATGGTCACTGTTTATTTTAATTGTGTTCATAATTTTGCTTCCTTATTTCTCACTCCTGGGTTATGGCCTCATTATCAACTTAATGAGGGGAGAGCCAGAGGAGAGCATATTAAATTTCAGTATACAAGTAACCATAGAGATAAGTGTATGGATTCAAATGTTATGAAAATGGCATAGTAAAAAATGTGGTCTTTGTTTGAGTCACATTCTGTAATGTGGTCAGAACATTAAATCAGAGATGGTATAAAAAATTAGAAATTAGATACTGGGCCTTTTGCCAAAAGAATCAAAAGAGTGATTTTCTTTCCCCAGGAATTAGAGTATTTGAAACATTTGTAAATTAACATTCCTTGAATCTGACTCAGAGCCCTAGGATATGTTACCCATGTAGATATTCAAAATACACTTGCTCACTTGCTTCCATTTGATCTGGACATAGAAAACTGTATCCAGTTCCACTGAAGCCTATAATAAAAAAAATTTATAATAAAAATAAAAAACGGGCAAAGAGGGCAGAGCTGCCCGTGTCAGTTGGTCCAGGTGTCCCGGCCTGAGACATCCTCCTGATCTCACCCCCTCCTAGCGCCTCAAACCGAAGATCATTCATCAAGAATTTTACATCGAAAATCTAAAAGTTTTTTGCCCAAGATGATGAGTGCTGACATAGATGCAGTTGATGCTGAAAATCAGGTGGAACTTGAAGAAAAAACACGACTTATTAATCAAGTGTTGGAACTTCAACACACACTTGAAGATCTCTCTGCAAGAGTAGATGCAGTTAAAGAAGAAAATCTGAAGCTAAAATCAGAAAACCAAGTTCTTGGACAATATATAGAAAACCTCATGTCTGCTTCTAGTGTTTTATAAAACAACTGACACAAAAAGCAAAAGAAAGTAAGGGATTGGTTTCCCTTCTGTTTTAAGGAATTGCTGCTGATCAGTTTTCCCCCCCCCCTTTAAAACTTGGATAGATTTCAAAAGTTTCAGTACCTTTGTTTGTGGCTTCATTGAATATTTATGAAGATAATGGCAGATCTAGGCAAAATTAACTGCATAACAAGAGAGTTTGTGTATTATGTTAGTCTATGAAAATGTGCAAATGTTTTGTAGAGACTTTATAATTAGAACTGCATATATTTATGAGACTTGAAGATGAATGTTTTATTAAATTTGCTTTGATATATAGGTTTAGCACTGTCTTTTATTATATAGGCTTAGTAAAATATATACGAAAATAACCACCATGTTGTGAAAAAGTGACCAAAATCATGTACTGAATGCACAGCTTTATGTACCCTGTCCACCATCTTGTGCCTCTTCTCCATTTGCCTCTTCCTTCCCATTTCCCTTCCCCTAAGGAAAAAAAAAAAAAAAAGATTGCACATTTGTAAAAGTAATTTTAATAGTTAATCACTGATGAGAGTAACATGACTCTAATTGTTGAAACTTAACCAAAATAAGAAACTGTCTTAGCTAGGGCTTGTCCTGTGTGGTATTTAATAATAAGATAGGATTGATGGTTTCTCTTTAAGCAATTGAAGATGGACTGAAACTATAAAAATGGTCTCATACTGGGAAGATTTGTTTAAAACTTCCTTTTGCACAAAATAACCCACTTAGGACCTGAAAAGATAGGAGTTCTGGTCATGTATGTACGTTCAAGATAGATCTATCTTGAGAAAAAATAGAAATGGGCAGGAAAGAACTTGGTAAATACTACTCCAAATGCTTTCACTCCAGATTTGTGTTCTCTCTGGCAGAATAGACTTTTGGCGGACAAAAGATAGATATGAAAGTGCATTAAGTTTGAATAACTTTATGTAAGCTACATAGGGAGACCAGTTATCATTTGGTCTCAAGGACATTTACTCAATAGATCAACTCTTGCAAAATTGAGAGTTTATTAGTAACAGAATCATGAACACATGGTAGAGTATACATGTACAATAATGGTAATTTTGATCTTAGTATTTTAGCTCACTTATTCTCCCAGAATTTTCTGTAAATTCTGCCATTTAGTTTGCAGAGGTTTAGGCATTCTTTAAAAATTTTTAAAATTTAGTTTTTAATTTATTTGGTAAGGGAATAAGTATTGGAAATAATATTAAGATAATAGGAAAAGAGACCCACTAATATAGCTTATGATTATTAGATTTGGACTACTTTTAATCATGAAATAATCTTATGTATTAGTGTAAGATTTGATATGTGACTTTAGCTGTATGAATATATAATTAAACTGCAAAGATTTTGCATCCCTTTTGTGACCTAATTTACAGATATTTAAAATTGTGTTACAGTTCTGCTTTGCTGTTTAATAAAAAGCTATTTCAGAAAAAAATTAAATTAAAAAAACATTAAATATAAAGAATTTTAACTCATGGTCTTAAACCTCAAGACTAAATTTCTAATTATTGCTTTTTAGAAACTGTGTGGTTGATTTCCTTTGCAACACCCCTTTTCCTTGTTTTTTGTTTTTTGGGTTTTTCTTTTTGTTTTTAATTTCTAAAGTTATCTAGTGTTCTACTGTGGGACTTAAACTATATTTAACTTGAAACTTTAGGTTAGGCCATGGAGAACCCTATTTGCATAAGGATTCTCAGAGTCTCATTGGCAAGGTGCACTGGGACTGATGATCAGATATACTGAAATATCCCATCCTCAGAGCATCAGAGAAGAAAGATGATCAAGAAGAAGGTATATATACCCTGTGATTTCAATGTGGTTTGTCCCTACTAAAATTAATCTTGAGGTTTGGTACCCACATAATGTTGAGAGGTTATGGGACCTTTAAAAGGTAATTCGGTCATAAGATCTCCACCCTCATGAAGGGATTATTGTCATTCCCTTAGGAATACGTAATTATTACTAGAGCAGGTAGTTATAAAGTGAACCTGGCACCCCACACACACACACTCTTCTTTACCTGTGCATCTCTTCTTTACCTGCCTGTTTCCCCTTTGATTTCTCTGCCATGAGTTAACACAAAATGAGGCCTTCACCAGAAGCTGAACAAATGCTGGTGATGTGCACTTGGATTCTCCAGACTGCAGGATTGTAAGCCAAAATAAACTTCTTTTGTTTAAAAATTACCCAACCTCAAGTATTTTGTTATAGCAACGGAAAACAAACTAAGTCACCCAAGAAAGCATTATATACGTAGGTGAGCATCATCCTCTGATACCAAATGAGCTGTTGTGGAAGAACGCTATGTATACAGTAAAGGGAAGCTTTATTCAAGTGTCCTTCTGCCCTGCCTTAAAGAAACTTGTCCTAAACAGCTTGAAAAGGAAATGAAAAGTTGGCAAGGCAAAGATCCCTTTGGGAAAATCAAAATATGATGTGGGTTCTTTAACCCAAAAGATTAGCCAAAGAAGCTATAACCACTTGCAGAGGAAGAAAAAAAAAAAACTTCTTTAATTTGAAACAGAAGACGGAGGTAGACCATAGGTTGTCCTTTGAAGTTTAGAAGAAACAAGATTGCAGTAGACAACTATTTATAATAGATTCTGCCAATGTGGTAATGCCCAGGATTGATCATTCAAGCACTACCTTCCTGTTTTTTTCTTGTCATTCATATACTGCTATTTAGATTATTTTCCCCACTTATGTTATTTAGCAATATTTTATTTTTCAATCAAACTTATTATTTTACTTAAAGAAAAAAGTAACACTGGAAAATCAGCATCATTTGCCATAAAGGAAAGTAAGTGAAAAAATACTGTTAAATTCTGGCTAGAAAAGATTGCACCAAGCTTCCCAGCATGTCCCCTGCTCTTTGTTGAAGAAGGCAACGGTTGTTGGTGGAGAGGCATTAAACATTGATACAAGCCTTTGTCCTTGTCAGAGACTGAAAGAGCATGGAATAAAGCAGTGTTCTCAGTGAGTGATTAAACATCATTCAATACCAGATCTGCGTGCCACTTAGGTCATCTGCCACGCCTTCAGAGGTGCTGGCCTCACCTTCTGGGAAACACTGGCAGGACTTACTCAGAGGAACAGGGCTTCCTCTGAAACAAGAGGGAGGAAATGCATGACACTCGGAACTGTCGAAAAAGAAATTAGAAAAATCTCGTGTCACAAATGAATTCAGTCCACTCACATGGCCCTGAGGTAGTGGGAATTTTTAAATTAGAGTCTGACTAGAGGTGTCTAGTCCTAAAAATTGTCACAAATTAATACCAGGCAAGTCTCTTCACTCCTTTTAGTTATTGCCTGATGTGTTAAAGTCTGTGATTTATTTACTGAGAAAAAAAAGTGAGTGGAGACAGGTTTGAAGAGACTGAAAAGCATTGGCAGTTAATTGAGGAAACTGATAGGAAATCAAGAAAACAAAAATAAATGTTTTAGGTTGCCGAGCAACAATGCAGCCCCAGCTAGCACAGGCATAGTGCGACAAATGTGTTTTGGAGACATACTTGACTTGATGTGGTACAGAAAAGCTCTTCATGTTGAGGCCTTAATGAAGGGAGCAAGGAGGAATAAAAGAGAGGGGGGAAGAAATTTCCCAAATATCATTAAAGGTACGTGAACACATGAATTAATAAACTCATGCTTCATCCAGTCTAGTAAAGATGGTGTCAATTAAAATGTCAATGTCAGTAAGATATACAAGGTGCTTACGATATGTCTTTGTTCTTGTTTTCTATTTTGATGAAAATTTCTTGATCTTACATTAATATTGGACAAATAAAGTTGTAGTTTGTATGTCACAAGTTTACATCTGATTCTGTGCACTTTGAGTTGTTCTGAGATATTGTTTACCTTGCGCACATACCTCCCAAACACGCTACCCATGCCACAAACAATGGACTTAACCAGCATGGTTGATTATGTTTTTCGGGAAGCTGGAGATAGAGTGTAGAGACAGAGGGTGGTGGAGGGTATGGTAGGAATGGCAGAAGGTGCATGAGATGAAGGTTCCCGAGTTATGGTTCCAAGTCTTGACTCTATGAAATTGCTGTCTCCTTTATTTCCAGGCCTCACCTGACAGTTTCTTACCATTGTCTAAGCAGTTCTTCCTTATGACAAAAACTGAACAAAGTCGTCACTCAGGGGCTGGGGCTCAGTGCTAGAGCACTTGCTTAGCATGTGTGAAGCCCTGGGTTCAATCCTCAGCACTACATATAAAATAAACTTAAAAAAAGGAAAAAATCCATTGGCAACTAAAAAATATAAAAAACAAAACAAAACATAATGGTCAGAAGGACTGTGCAGATAGGGAAATGATAAGAATCTGAAGTTTCAGAAGGCTGAGAATATTCAGTGAGTGTGAGAATGGAAGGAAAAGAGGGGTAAGAGAGTCCACCAGAGAGAGAAATTTAAGTTCGAGTTCTTAGAGATACAGCAATACTCCGTGCTAATCAGTGGAAGAGGTAGAGTGGTGATGAAGATCAGTGAATTGAAGAGCAAATGTTTTGCCAGAAAAGTGGATATTGATCTCCTTAAATATCTCCCCAAGGGCTGGGGTTGTGACTCAGTGGTAGAGCTGCTTGCATGGTATGTATGAGGCACTGGGTTTGATCTTTAGCATCACATAAAAAATAAATAAAATAAAGGTGTTAAACATATATTAAATATATTATATATTTTTTATTTTAAAGTACTTATTTCTATTAAGTACTTTAAAATACAAGGTTGGAATATTTCTAATCATTGACAAGCTCAGCAAGATGAATTTTTTCTCCCTGTTGTCATTTATTCATACCAATGTGGTAGTTGTTATAGTAGAAGACAAATGAGGGGAAAGCCTCAAGAAATTAAAATTGGTTTAATCTTGTATGTTGTCAAGACCATACTGAAGGTGTGTTTATGAGTTTTGGCAAAGGTCTGTATAGTGAAGTGTCTTTGAATATATGTTCTTGTTTTTCTATTCTCTGTTTCACTTATTTCCACTCTAGTCTTTATTATTTTCTTCTTTCTGCTTGCTTGAATTTAGTTTACTCTTCTTTTTCTAGTTTCTTAGGGTGGAAAGTTAGGTTATAGATTTAATACCTTCTTTTTTAATATAGGCATTTATAGATATAAATTCCTTCTGGTTGTATTCCATAAGTGTAGTACATTCTGTTTTCATTTTTATTAATTTAAAAGTATTTCCTGGTTTCCCTTGTGATTCCTTTGTGCCCAGTTGGCTATTTGGGAGTGCCTCATTTAACTTCCATGTATCTGTTAACTTCCCAACTTTCTTCCCACCCCTCCTTCTCCTCCTCCTCCTCCTCCTTCTTCTGTGTGTATGTTGGAGGGAGGTATTTTGTTTTGTTTGGTTTTTCTGTTTGGTTGGTTTGGTTTGGTTTGATTTGGTGGTACTGGAGATTGAACTGAGGGGACTCTACCAGTGAGCAACATCCCCACCCCTTGTTAAAGTTTTTTATTTAAAAAGCCAGTCTTGATAAGTTGCATAACTTAGACTTGAACC